TTCTAATTAAGCACAATGAAATCTCAAGCCACTTGACTCTACGTCATTAAAGCTTGCTACTCAGTGATCTTCTTATGGAGTCCCATAATGGGAGACTGTTTACTGGGACATGGGGGAGAGACTGCTGCTAAGCTGCTAATGACTCCATATGTAGCCAAATCTACATTCTTATTACTCTTGTGGATCTGCAATATTATATCCACATTTGCGATGCAGAAGGCACGAGGGCAGCTTTGAATTAATCAATTGTTTGTTATGCAGAAAGGCAAGCTATTGTGTATTTTTAAGGAAAACCTTTATATTGAAAGGAGCAACTATTATATACTACATAGATGGTAGAAATGGATTTTTAATCATAAAATAACATGGGAGAATTAGCAAGCAATAGGCTATTTCCTGATGGCACAGAAAGGGACCTTGCTGTGATGATATCTCACTGCTGCCATTTCATTTCCTTACTGTGTGGAGCTCATGCAGGTGATTCTGATATGGGAACTTATTCAATGAAAAACTGAAGCATAAGAAATCTTAGTCCACAGAGTGGGACTGGTGATTTTTCTTTTGGTAAAAGACTCATCTGTTACAACCCTATATGCAAACCATTAGTAAAACAAAATAGAAATCATTTCAGGTGCTCTGAGCTATCTCCACTACAAAATTTCCCTAATATAGTAACCTGGGAAATTCAAGCAAGGGAGCTAGGGAATTTCTGTAACAGATCACAACGGGGTCTAGAAAAGTCCAAGAGAAGGTGCTTAACGAAGAACTATTATTTTCATGTGATTACAGGTTCACCTTTGCAGGGGCTTCTTAGGTCATTTAAGTAGATCCTTCAGTGGACAGGATGGTATATTAGCTGGAACATGAGAATGTTCATTTGAACCTGCTATTGTATAGGTGTCTTTATTCTCGATGTGACGTCAAAAGTGTCAATTCAAACTTTTCTTATCCATGTAACTATTAGAAATGAAAACAAACCACCATTTAACTGATGGTCATTTTCTGAAGTGTCACTGTTCACCTGACCTATGCTGTATGTTGACAAGAAAGACAGATTAGCTCTCAGGTGGCCCAGCTTTGAAGGTTTCCCTTTTCTCTTTCAGTCCTCTGTGGCATTTCTCTGGCTTTAGCAACTTTACACATCTGGTCACTAATCCCTTCTGAAGCAGATCTATTTCATCTTCTAAGCCAAAGCCTTCAGTTTTATTTCCACTGGAATAAAGAAAGAGCAAGAAGTTCTCTTACTCCTTAAGATAAAAATCAGCACCTCACCCTTTCCATCTTTCTGTTCCTATTTAGCTAGGACTGTGACTTGCAGAACACAGAAGCAGTTAGACTCAACACGTAATGACACTGGTCTGAAAGCCACCTGATTTCAGAGGTCAAGCTAAGAGAGTACAGATCCACACTTGTTTCTCTATAGTCATGGGTATAATTTTCCATAATTATCTTTCCTGTATAAAAAAATCAATGTTCTAACTGAAAGCATTGGGAATTTATTCTTGCAATTTGGACTTACCAACTCATCACCACTGGCAAAAATGGCCTGATCCTACTCGCAATGGCACACAGCATTTATTTTCTCGTTGACATCATTTAGGTGTGGCCACCTGTGATAACATAACACTAAGGTTCTGTTCTACAGTCACAAGTGACCAAGCAAAAATCACACCCAAATATTAAAGTGATCATTCAGAGCTGGCAGCTTCCTGTTTAGAGGAAATACAGCCATCAGGAACGAGAGAAGAAACCCAGATACTTTGTTGAAAGATTAAAAAAAGGTGGGAGGAGCTTAAAGCAATGTAGGTCATCCATGAGCCAGGCAATGTCATTGTCAAACCTCCCAGAGAGGTGGAAATAGGAATGGAGAAATAGTTTTACGGCCATGTTTTTTATAAGGGAAAAATTGGAAGGAAATTCCCAAGTTGTAACACGACCTAGATCCTTCAGCAAAGCTACTGCTCTGGAAAGCTGTTGCCAAATGCTATTTTAACCAAAGCCAGTTCTGCTGGAGCTCCATCCTGAGTGTGTAGTTATTTCGCCATGAGCTGTATGATGAGGAACACGGAGTAATATTTGCAACACGTAGCGCAGTGCTCATTACTTCCCGTTCAGACTGTGGAGGCTGGCTATTCGTTTGTGCTGCTACTGGTAGCCTCCTTCTGCCTACAAAAACAGAATATATCTGGCTGTTGGGCTCTTACAACACAACTGTTTCCACTGCAAATATATCGCTTTTATTTTCAAGATTTCATATAGTGCACCTTTTCTGCCCTCCAAATTTTAGTCACTGAAGTTCTTAAACTCCTAGATCATATTTGCAGACATCCTAATTCACATACTATGCAGGCAAAGGATGTTAGGAAAAAATGTTTAGATAAAAAAGAAAATGGAATCAATAAATAGACTTATCAGAAAAAGACATGTAGCATTTTCAACTCATGGGGTGGATTTGACAGAGATCCTACATCCAAGGCTGAACATATTCCAAGCCTTAATGTCTTCATAGCTATTCTACTTGCAGTGTAGGAAAATACAGAGTACTCAGGAAACTACTCATGTGTAATTAAAACCACACATGGCCAATTTCCACAGGAGGGATTTGTTCAGGAAATCAACAAATTACTTAAAAGCGCTTGCCTGAAATTTGCCTCTGAGTGACTCTAAGAAATGGTTAAGCTTTTATATTTCACAAGTACATATGAATCAAGAATAGTTAATTGTACATGTCAACTGCCTGGGTCTGAGTGCCTAGATATTTGGTCATATATTACAGTCTGTATTCATTGCTTTGAGAACGTTACACATGAACTGGCAGAATGAACAAAGTACATCAAACTCTGTAATGGGAAAGGCTCACATTCAGTCAGTTGAAAACCTGAATAAAGCCGAAGGCTGACCCTCCAGAGGGAGAGACACTCCTCTCCCTGATCACCTCTAAACTGGGGTATCTGCTTGTTCTTCCACAGCCTCTGAACTAGAACATCAGGTTTTCTTGGTTCTACTGTCTGCCAACGATGGATGGACTTGAATGAGGATGCTATCTTTGCAGATTTGGACCTGCCAAGCTTTGTAACTGCATGAGCCGATTTCTCACAATGAGTATCTCTGTCTCCCCCTTGAAGTGTCTCTTTCTCTGCATCCTATTGATTCTGTTTCTTTGGCAACGCAGACTAGTATGTCACCTCAGACTTTTAAGTGACATGCATACTTGCCAGTACACTCTCAGTGCTATTAATGTTTTTCAGTCCTAAACCAAATTTTTGTTCTGCTGATGAGTGACTATATCACAAGTACAAATCAATGACATTCACGAATCTGATAACCACTCTTCCTTACACTTACAGCTCACTATCGTCTGTCTTCAGTTAGTAAGCCTCCGGCTCTTAGTCAATTGAGTCAGATATCCATAGATTTTTGTCCAAGTACAAGTGCAGTATATGGCTGATAGCAATGGTTATTACTATGATTATCTAAAATTCAGCCTGTAGCCAAATAGTTATATTGTCATCCTTCTTTATGACATATGAAATTCATAGTCCTTACTGTATCAGTTTAAAACTATGGCCACAATGCTAAAAAGCATTCGAATCTCAGAGGTATGTTTCAGAAAGAATCCAGTGGGTATTCAAGGGTTGTCAGAACCCATTTTCTTAAACGTCTTACTATTGAGTTTGCTTTCTGTTTCATTTAGGAAGGAGGAAGTCACTTTGAAAAGGCAAATGGCTGGTACATATTTATTGAAGCACCTGGTCCTTTCACCACTGAAACTGATGCTGATGTTGTCTTCCATCACAGCCCCTTGACTTCCAACACAGCTCCTCTGCTAGGTCCAAAGCAGGATTCTTTGGATTTATACTACCAAACAAAGGCACTTGTGACTGATTAATTAAGTGCTTGTTTTAATGAATTAACTATTTTAAATGATGTATTCACCATACAAATTTATTCTGAAAAGACAACAGTTAGCACGTGCTTCTTTCAAGAGCATGCAGTCAGGTAGACACAGAAAAATAAATCCCATGGAGCGCTTTTGTTCATATTAGCATCTTCTCTAATAAAAAGTGACTCACATTTCTGAAGAGATTCTAGCCTACTGAGCTATGGCATTTTCACAGGATATAACCCAGATGTTTTCCATGAAGTCAGCCTAATTCAAGAGCATTTGTCTGTCCTCAACTTTCTGCTTTTAGAAACTTAGGCAAAATTCATACACCTCAGCACACCCACATCAATGAGTGAAGTACCAACTGGCCAAACACCTACTTTACAACATGAAAGAGTCAGGGCTTTACCATGCATCCTTGACTAAAGCCAAAAGTGGTGATTGCTTTTTGGTATTTACACATATGTGGCTTGGCCAGCCTCACAAAGCAAGTTAAGACAGAACTAAATTAAAATCTGTCTCTGAGTCTCTTTGAGCTTGCTTTGTTTTCTAAACCAGGCAGATAGTTCATTGGAAATGGTAGCGGTGTGAGCTCAGGAATAAGCAAAGGCTTGAAACAAACACTCCATTTCCTACCCTGACAGGCCAATGGCACACAAAGTGGCCTCCCTCCTCAGAGCCGTGCTCTGCCCCAACCCAGGAGCTATCTGTGTAATACAGATGTAACACAGGCACCCTACCAAAGAGCCCTGAACTCTAAAGATGCATGAAGTATTTTACAATATTGCAAACTTACTGGGAAAACTATAAGCACACAATGATCAGCATCAGAATTTTAACAAACATAAAGTCATAGCTCCTAAGAGTTTTAACTATTTTCTGAAACTATTTCTCTTAAAAACATCATCTGATTACATTGTGTTGTTTAGAATTATCCCCATTTTTCCCAGAAACATATTTATTTACTTTTCTATACTTTCTACCCTTTCCTTTTTTGTTCCTGCTTTTCTGGTGATCTGTTTAACTCCCCTGGTAGTTGTGGCACCAGTTCTTGAACTATAAAGATACGTGGACATCATGAATAGACGCGAAGGTGTGACCCAGAGGGTGTTACCTAGAATGCAGAGCCCATCAGTGCAGTTTTCCGATTCCTGGCTGAGTCCTTCACAGAACTTGCCCCCATTCCTTGGGGGTGGCGCCGTGCACTCTCGGATCCTGAGGTGCTCGCACTCGGGGCTGCAGACGGACCATTCACTCCATACTTCCCAGCTCCCATCCACTTCAAAGGGAAACAACAGAAGCCACTATTAGGGGGGCTCCACCGTGGTGCCAAGTGCACCCCACTGCACTGCTATCTTTCCACATGGATTTTAAAGACACCACCACAAAGAAATCAGAATACTAGTTCAAAGTATGGTGGCTTCTCTCCATGGCTTCTTTCCTCACAAAAACAGTGGTACAATTTTCTTGCCATTTTGGGATGAGACCTATTATTGAATTGAGGCAAGCTTTTGGATGACCAGTACATTTGGGTTGGCTAATAATGTCATCATCTATTTCTTCCTAATCTTCCAGATTCAGGTACATCTTAAATAGATCGACAAAGTCTGCCTAGTAACTACTGGTCATCAGCCACTGCCTTGTGGGTTGACAGTTTAGAAAAAAGGGTAAAGTGAACTATTTTAAAGCCCTAAAAGACCCAAAATAATAAAAAGCTAAATGCAAATATAATGACAGCATTAAACTAAAGCAGGTCAGTCAAGCCCCAAGATGCTAGAATGTACATAAATAGAATTTCTTGGGTCATGGATTCCTGTGGTATGCAGAAATGAATGAACTGAACTTAATTCCATTAAAGATTAACCCTAGAGATTAGGGCAGATGTTCAGGGCAATTGCTCCATTACCTCCCAGGAATAGCTTGACTATGCCTGGGTTAAGATATTGCAATTTTTAAGCAATTTGACAAGAATAAGATAATATAAAAATTAGTGAATCAAAGTGTCTGAGACATTGTCTTGGGTTTATCAAGTTTCAGCTGGACAACTCTGGAAAGTCGCACAGCCTCACTTTACCATTTCTGCTACCTGAGGGTAAAACAACTCACAACACAGAGTTAAATGACATTATATGTATAAAAATGTCCTGCGCAATACCTGGCACATAGTAAGCACTCAATAAATGTTTATCGAATGAGATTCAAAATGAAACACCAAGAATATGCTGCTGGTCAGAGCCTCACCTTAACTTTAAGAGGGACAAAATTTGAAACTTTAAAAGACTTGAGACTCAAGGCCAGTGTCCTTGGAGTTAATGTTCTGTAGTGCATGTGAGATGCAGGATCAATTTATTTCTCAGTGGGAGGATATGCTTTCCATAAAGAAAGCCATCTTCCATCTCATCTGTTTCTCACTGTATAAATTGGGTTACAGCCAGGGAGAAATGAACAAATGAACTGGTACAAGGCACATTTGGTAACGAAGTCTCTCTCTGTTCCGAAAGAAAGGCAAGCACAGGCTAAATGTAAAATATAGACTGCTGCGACAGTGTACAATCTCTGCCAATTGCAATACAAACAAATACAAAGGTTCAGCTGGCAAACGGTCGGTTTTTTGGTTTCTGCTATTTTGCACTTGAAGATGTCTCACCTAACTGCTGCTTAGTATTTACGATACAAGCATACTTCATAAACCAGACAAACTGAAGGACAGAAAAGGTGGCTTAGCCCAACCAAACATTGATAGTACAAAAACTACTTCGAAGCATCTGGCTTGTGGCTAGTAAGTGTTTGGTGTCATTTGAATATTAAAAAACAAACAAACATCAACAACAAGACCAAAAACTATGCCCTTATACTTTGTGCAGTCATTTCATGTTTTTGCTACTACACCAACTTCCACATCAGCACCTTGGACAGAGACTCGGAGACCCTGGAAGAGGGTGACTTTGGAAAGGAAGGTTAAATTGATTGCTTCACACCAGCTTAATAGTGTTGGTGGATCAGAAGGGAAAAGGGAGTCTGTGTATATCTCACCAGGACAAAGAGAAGTGCAGGTTATTTTCTGCACTGACATTCCCTCACAAAACGCCCCACCATTGAGAGGAGCTGGGTTGGTGCAGGTCCGGGAACGTTTCTGCCATCCTCTACCACAGCGAACATTGCAGGCTGACCACTCTGTCCAGGAAGACCAGCCTCCATTCACTGAGAGACAAAAATGGGAGGGGAGAAAACAAGGAGAGAGGTTTTTACTGATTGCCTACTATGTGCAAGCCACTGTGCCAGGCGTTGTGAGTTGCGCATCCAGGGATGAAAAGATCATTCAGAGCCCCACTGGCTACCCTGTCGTGAGGTGGCAGGGGTGCCATGTCATCTACCCTTTAATCTACTGTCTGAAAAAGGGAGGACCTAGAGATTGTGCTTTGCAGGGAAATGATGAAAAAGAAGAACTCATCAGCACATCACTATAGCACTTGAAAATTCACAGTATAAGAAGAAAATACCAGCATTTGAATTTCTATTACCTTAGGTGCTTCCAAAATAAATCCCAGGCTTCTTCTATTGTGAAAGGGAATGCCTTTACTTAAAAAGCTGGGGATTTCTTTTATATAATACCTGAGAGAGTTAGCAAACAGTAGTGTTTGTTTTGGGTGGGTTTCATTATGCCAGGAGAGGGACAAACTGGTAGCAGGATTGTGAAGACTGGCATGGGTGGTGGCTTTGGGAGTGAAGGAAAGCAGACACTGCCCACCTTGATGCTTTTCAAATATAAGCACAATGGGAGAAAATGAACAAACCTTTTGTTAGTTTTAGAACAGAAAGGAAATGGAAATGTCACTAACTCTCTCACAGAAGTCCAACATGGATGGGATAGCAAATGCATTAACAGTATAGGGGTATTTACTTGCCTGTCAAATGGGGGAAGGACAGAGCCCTGCCGCAGATGACCCTCTGTGTCCCTTCAGCTCCAGGCATGGACTGTCTTAATGAAACACACAGCCATCCATTTCTCTGAGTTCTGCTCTCCCCACCCAGTTGTGGCCTGGGGGTTGGTCTTACCGTAGACCACCACAGTAGCTGACAGGCTTCTCCTCTTGGCCACTATGTTGGCTGCTGTGCAGGTGTAATTCCCTGAGTCAGAGAGCCGTGCCTGCCTGATGATGAGATTGTGGTCAGCCCTGGTGTCAATGTTCTCATCTTGTTCAGAATCAATGGGCTCCTCGTTTTTCAGCCATTCCACCTGCAAGAAGAAAAGAATATTGACAAATGATTAAGAAAATTAACAAGTCTTTTTTGGAAATGGAAGATGAGTAATTCTGGTACATGGGAGGCAGAGGTATATAACACATCATACAATAGCCAACACTTGTTTCTTTGTTCCACATTCCTTTTTCTTCTACTAAGTAAGATTGATTGCAATCAAACTCAAGTTAATAAACTGAAAGTAGAAAAAGAACACAAACATCCTACTAACTTTGACCCATTTCTAAAAATGCAGCGGAAGAGAGAAAAGAAATGATTGTAATTAGGTCACTTCATTTTATTTCATTACAACACTGATGATGATATTTCAATAATTGGTCTAAGATAGAACTCAGAATAAAAATATACATGCTCTACTGGTACTTTATTCTGGGAGGACATTATATTGTTGGATAAAGTTACAAATCAGTACGCTTACATTTAAGCAAGTTTAATAATGCTATGAAAGATATAAAGAGTTATGCAACAGCAGAAACAAAATAAATTCAGTCTGTGGTGTTCTCCAGATTCAGAGATTTCTTTGCTGATCATTTTGCCAGTCCTCCAAGGCCTCAAAAGACTCTGGCTTAGAAACCTGAAACACCGAGAGCTCAGCCTCTCTCCTGGAGGAGTCCATCTCAGCATCCTCTGAGCACAGGCCATTCCCACCTCTAATCTATTTTCCCAAAGATTTATTCAAGAGAACCTATTTCCCCTTTTCACTGCCTTGCTAAGTGTTATGGTTTAGATCTAAATCTCCAAAGTCTCCTGGGATTGGAACATGATTGGATCATAGAAGTGCTGTCTGCCTCAGTGCATTAACCCATGGAAGACTCCTCGCTGAATGAGGTGAAGGTGGGTCCCCGGAGATGCGAACTGGGTGGGTGTATTCTTGATCCTGAATCCTCCCTGCTCCCTCTGCTTCTTAGATGCTCATGGCTGTGCTGGTTTCACTTTGGAGCCAGTCATGTTCTGAACCCACCATAACCATAACTCCAAACAACTTCTTCATTAGGGCTAAGACCTTCACTAGAGGAAAGACACCCTTTTTAAATAAATGCTGCTGGAAAATGTGAAAGGGTAAACCTATTCTCACCATGCACTAAACTAAAATTGAAATGCATCAAACATCTAAATATTAAGACAGAAACAATCTTAGAAGCTAGAGTAGGTAAAACTCTAGAAGATACAGTGTAAGCAAAGACTATGAATAAAATCCTGATTGCACAAGAAAATATTACAAAGAATCAACAACAGATTAAATTAAAAAGCTTTTGCACAGCAAAAGAAATTACCAACATAATGAAGAGACAAACTACAATGGGAAAAATTTTACCTGCAGCTCATCAAAGGACTAATATCTAGAATATATAAATAGCTCAAAAAAATCAGACCCCTGAATTTAAATACCCAATCCAAAAATGGGAATCTGAAATGAACAGATACTTCTCAGGTGAAGAAGTGCAAACAGCAAACAAATATAAGAGAAAATATTCAACAATGCTAGTCATTAGAGAAATAGAAATTAAAACAACATGGAGATTCTATTTTGTGCCAGAAAGCATGACTATAAGAAATTAATCAGGAACTAATGATGGTGAGGCTGTTGGGGAAAAGGAACCCTTCTCTATTGTTGGTGGGAGTGTAAATTGTTATAATCACTATGGAAATCACTATGGAGATTCCGCAAAAAACTAAAACTAGAAGTTTTATTTGGCCCAGCTTTTCTCCTTCTAGGTATCTCTCCACAAAAGTTAAAAATATCACACTAGTGATATAAGCATATTCATGTGTATGGCAGTGTAATTTATGATAGTTAAATTTTGGAAACAACCTGTATGCTCTTTAACATATGAATGGATGCCTCTCCAAACCCTCATTTTAAGTGAGATAAGTCAGATACAAGAGTTTAAATATCACATTGTTTCTCCTGATTATGAAATCTAAAGGATAAAAAAGGAGCGCAATGGAGGACAGATATTGGGTAGCAGGAAGAATTTATTCAAATGGGAAGAGGAACAAAGGAGGTGGAAAGGGAACAAAACTATGGGAAACAGTATTTTAAAAGAGATAATGGAAAGGAAAAAACGGAAACACAACTTTTGTAAATGGGGAGGGGCAGAGGGTTTGAAATGTGAAGTAGGGAGGGGCAAAAATAATTACGATATATCATGGACAGGTATAAATTCCCTAAGATGAATATGATCATTATATATTAAACATGTATTATTAGATTATTTTTAAAACCTCTGGATTGCTGGTATTAGGTGTTTTGTCTCCATAACAGGCACATTATTAATATACTAAGCTTCCCTTTCCTTGGACACCCAATGAAGATACAGACAGGAACCTTTTGCTCTCAGATTCTCCTTCCTCAAATGGAAGCGCACACCCTAAGCATCTATTTCACGAAGCAGATCCTTCCCATGACCTGTGTCTTTCCCTATGCGTCCTCTGGTTCTGCATCTGAGCTACTGATCATTCTCTAGGGCCATCTTGGAAGCATCTGGCATTTCTCAAGTCACAACCATGGAGGTCTACTTATCACATATGCAAAACACATTTAACAGACACATAAAAATCATAAATTATCACAGAAAGTGATGATACAAAAAGACAATGTACAGAAGCAAAAGGACCAAGGAGATTCTGTGGTTCCCTACCCATCAATAGCACAGCTACCTGAAAGTTGGTTTTGGAACAAAATGTCCCATCTCACTTTGTATTTAAGTTTAAAGAATTCTCATCACAAATAAACAAGTGACAGTGGTTTTATGATAACTTGGTATAATGGTGTTGGTGCTGGTGGAATTTAACACAATTATATTTATCAGAAGAATGATCCTTTAATCCTTACCCCAAGAACTCCCCTCCAATAAATGAGAGTTTAGGGAATAAATATCCTCTCTTTCAAAATTTACCATAGAAGAGGTCTATTTGAGAAAAGAAAATAACATCAGATGTCCAGAAGGCTGAGAGCTCCAGAACATAAAGAAGAGCTATAAAAAGTGAAGTGCTGTGTAACCATGAAACGAGGCACAGATTTCTCCATCAATCCCATGAGTCCTGACAGATGTTACCATGTCCCAGCCCAGAGGAGCAGTACTAACGATGTTGCCCAGAAAACAGCATGGCTCTGCTGGACAAAGCAAGGCACAAAAACTGATTTAAAACACAACTCACTAAACCCTGGAACTAAATATCCCCCATTTTATGCTAACATTTTACACAGCTCTTTATTTATTCATCTGAAAAGTATGCAATCATTTCTTGACCATCAAAGGTTGCTCTTAGTGCTGCTGAAAGCGAAGAAAAGAAAATGAAGATGGTTCCATCTTTCCTGGACCTTGCATTTGACAGGCAAGACAGAAATACACAAGTCAAGCCACGTATTTGCCAAAATAAAAGGGTTGAGCGTAATACTGTTATCAATCTCATAGTGAGATATTTCCTGCAAGCACAGTAGAACTACATTATAAAAATCACCATCACCCCTACACTAGCATGGAAATTTATCAGCTTACAGTAGGTGTGGGTTGCTGTACCTCCTTATTCAGAAAGTCTGGAGTAAATGGTATTTTTTCTGATTGTTAATTTCTTTGTTTCTTGTTAATTTCTTTGTTTTCTTTTTTCTTCTCTCTCTCTCTCTCTCTTTTTTTTTAATGTGTAGTGTCTAAGTTTCTTTCTATATATCCCCATCTCACTGTTTTATTTTTCCACTCTTCTCCGATGAATGTGGGGGAAATCTGGCCCTGACTTCCGGTAAATTATGGTTAGACTGGAGATGACCAGAGAGAGCGTGATGAGTAGTGGCCTTGGAGACTGAATCTGAGAGAGTCTCAGCACCTGGGAATCAAAGAAAGCTTTTCTAAAGGAATTTTGGCCTAGAGAAAATGAAAGCCACAGTCAACAAATAGAGATTTAGCTTTATTTGAAAATTTATAGAAAAATAAATCATTCACCAAACAAATGCACAAACAAATCAGGAAAATATTTCTACACTAATTTCTGGACAACACTGATTGATATTAGGTAATATAAATGAGTAAAAATAATGCAAATAGCTAATGCTTCTGTTTAACTTGATTAAAAACCTATCCAGTAAATAAGGCTTGACATCAGACTATAGTTCACAAGAAACAGAAAATACATTACAATTAGAAAACTAAACACTGTACCCTTAATTTAAAAATATGAGACTTTTCTAAGTGAAAAGGAAAACTTTAAAATGTCACAGATGTGCACATATAACAGGGCCTTTTCTTTTGTGGTTTCTTCTCAATTTTGAGAGAACAGACTGCAGGGCATTTTACCCATTAACAGTACTTCATTTCCCAGATTCCTGCAGGAGGTTCCAACTAGCGGTCTGGTCTGTCCCGTTTTTCCTCCTGGCTCTCTACCTAATTCTTTACAAAGGGGTGGGGTTGTGTTACTTTCTAGCTAGAAACCCTTTCTTTAATGGCGTCAAAGTCTCTCTGAGGCTAAGGAATTCCTTCTGTGGTCCAGCTTCCTAAGCATTTTCCACCCTCAGTAACCCTTGCTCAGTCTACTCCAATACCCTGGACTCCTCCCTGTTCTAGAAAAGCCAAAGCAAGTTCCAACCTTAGGGCATTACTACTGCCCATCCTTTGCCTAAATGCCTTTTCCAAAGGCATCGCCCAACCCACTTTGCCTTTAGCTTCCTGGGACAGGCTGTGGCCAGCAGCTGTTTCTAGAACAGAAGGCCTCTCCCCTTCTTCTACCTCACTTTCACTGTTCTCTTTACCAGGATCTGATAGTCTGAAACACAGCAATGCCTGTTATTAATACTAGACCTGCCGTGGATCATATCTTTCTGTGATGATCTATGAATTCAAACCAAGAATTCATCAAAAGAAAGGATTAGGGATGTGAATGAAGATTTAACTGCATTATTTTTGGTAGGATGAAGGTGGAAAGCTAAAGGGGGGAGTGGGAAGGAGGGGAATAGGGAGCAGGACAGAACAAGGGCAGCCAAAG